AAAAAACGCTTTCATCGACGTTTGCAATAACATAATTAGGAAGAGAAGAGTAATAAGAAAAAAATTCTGCCATTTGATGACACCTGATAAATTAATTTATACTCAGTAACCCTAAAAATCCCCGACCCAGATAGCACACTTTCTTTCCTCTTTCCTAAATGTCTTGCGAACCTTTCCCTGAAGTATTCCTAATATTTCATTATCATATTAGGGAAATATTTCCTTAATATGTACGTGTCCGCATATGCAGAAATATTTATGCGAACCTTGAGTAAATGTTTCATTGCAATATTCAGGAAATCATCTGTAATGATGCGCACTGGTCGAACTTGAATTCTATTAACTTGAAACAAATATAAGTCAGTGCTTTTTCTTTTTTATAAAATAATTAAAAGCTGATGTACAATTCGTGATCAGCGATCCTATGAACCCCCAATTAACAAGTTTCATGCGAATTGGATTGATTTTGAAAAAAGTCGTCCGCCATTTTGCATCCGCCATATTGAATCTTTGTAAACTAATGTTTGATTCGTGATCAGCAACCCTCGTAAACTCATAATAACGAGCATCTTAAGAAATTTTTTATTTCTTAAAGATTTGATAGAGTAAATTTATAATTCCCATTTAGCAATATTACTCTAACTTTGATCGATCGTAACTATCGTTTACCCCAACGAAAAAGGGTTTAAATAGGGTGTTTTTGGAAGCTCTTGATATCTACTATTCAAAAATGCAATGGAAAAAGTGCGACATTTCAGCCCAAAAATCAGCCTTATTGACCCTCCTCCTTTCTTAATATAAAATATTAGAAAGAAGCATAAATGATGTAAAAGAAGAATATTTATCCATTTTTACGTACGTTTATTATAAAGTTAATTATACAAAGTGTGCTCTATCTGTGATATGACTTCAAGTTCGTTATTGTATGTTTCTTTCTAATGTTCTGTATTAACAACTTTATTATGATTTCTCTTTCTTGGTGATGGTATCCGAATGGTGCTTTTCTGGTATGTTTACGTTGATGTTCTCTAAAATATTTTAACATAATACATTTTATTATTGAAAGATAATATATGTAATGGAAGTGAATATGTATTAATTCCAAAGTCAAAATCTATTACATATATATAATCAAATACGCTAATAAACGTAATAAGTGATATTCTTCGCAATCTCATTTTTCACAGATTTTAATTTATCTTTACTTTAACATCACATCGTTAAATTTTAATATATGTCTTTCAACATATTATTAAGATCCATAAGATGCTATAAGCATCAAAATTGTTAGATTGCTTGTCAATTTAACTAAGTGATATTACTGCGGTAGTAAGTATGTATGCGTCAATGCTGGAAAACTATCAGCGTCGCGAATTTTGGGGAGATTACATACGCAGTATGTAAAATTCACACAATTATAATAAGCATTGTGATCCAGCTTCGACCGTTATTGGCTTCTTCTTCTTGTTTATTACTGTTTATCAATTGTACGGTTTTAAAAAGATTCTAGTATAACGTAATAAGTATTTTAGTATAATAATTTTAAACAATATGAGATCTTCTTCAACGGACTCTTATAGTTCAAAAATAATACATTCCTCAAGGGCGAATGAGAGTGCAGCGTTGATCTTGATACGCAATAAATAATAACTCTTATTATTGAATTAAATTGAAAAATATTATTTATTCAATAATGGACAAAATGTAATAATTCTTATACGTTTCGACTCATATAGAGTCATCTTCAGTACATTTCCAAATTAAATATATTAAAATAATATTTGTGAGACACATCACATCAAATTGGAAGAAAAGATGTTATATTCTGTTAAAAAATAAACATGTACCAATCATTATAAAAATTAATAACAAATTTATTATTTAAATTCAAGTGACATACCTCACAAATCACAATAAATCTCAATCAATGAGTAAGGTTGTAGAAATTAAAATACATAATTATAAAATATCAAAGTTTTTCAACTCTAACGCAATCTTGGTATAAAACGAACCTGACGATGTCCTGTCATTGTCATGACTAAATTATCATATTATGTATAATATAAATTATTAGGGAAAACAAAGAGTATAAACAAATCTAAGATGTAATGACCTAAGCGTTAAAATATGCAATAATAAGGCTAATTCTAATTAAAAGAAACATTACAATATATAAAAAATTTTTTTATAAAATTAATGATTAATGGTTATTTTTCATTTCATTTGTTATGTCCCTCCGGCCCGTATATTTCTTCTTTTCTTTTCCTTTTGTATAAGCGTTATATGCGTGTAAAGTTAAGTATAACATTAAGGAACTAATTGTAACTCTTCCTATTACCATCCTTCCCAGGTAGCAAATATACGTCATTTTGACGTCAAATTTGAGTCATTTACTGACCATGACTGACGTCATTAAATGACGTTTTAATGACGTACTAATGTCGCAAAATTATTGACGTCATTGCAAGGACGTCATTTTAACATCATGTTCCCAGATAACAAAATGCGCGCACAATGGTCTCACAGTGCATTCACGCGTGCAAAATTATCCGCACGCGTG